AACGTATAATACACACGCACCCCACACCACTACTAAACCTACCCTAACCAACCATGCGTATCCTATGCACGTAAAAACTCATTCTCGCGTTTAAATTACACGATAAACACACTGCGTGCTATAGAGACGCATTTAGTGTGATCGGGTTGACATCACATGGCCTCAAAGCTAACAGACATTGGACTTATTTTGATTTCACTGAACAAAGCATATTTTGCCAACCTTTTGTAATACACTAGCATGCTAATAGACATGGATAAAATTAGAGTTTGATTTGATGGGGTCTCTAACATGCAGCATAAGAAAGCGGGTTTAATCTGAGGAGCTTTCAGTGCTCTAACTCTGCTGGCTGTTCTCGGTATGATGGCTGCAGGAGAAATGAGGTGTTCTGGGCTGTAAACATGCACCAGTGACCTGTGTCTGTCTGTGATGGTCAGTGTTTGTGTGTTCTCAGATGCCCTTCATAACATTGCCCTGTAGGACCAGTACGCTCTGAAGTTTGCTGCACCGCATCACCGCTCTGCTGAACACAGATGGAAAGTCACACAAACAGAATATGAAAGAAAATAGACTGTCCAGTGGTGTTCCACTCCATATTTGACCTCTCCTGCCTTATCTTTCGCTTATCAACATCTCTCCAGTTTAAAAAACATAGTCTTTGGAATGAACTTTATATTTGTAACTGTATTTTTGGGATGGATACCGTTTCTTTTCAATCTGATACAGTCATTTAACATTAAATACCCTTCTTAACATCACAAAGTCCTAAACTGTTCATTTCAGATTTCAATTCAAAGCAAAACCTAAGCAATCTTGATAAATTCGACTCTTAATTGAAATTAAATTCACATTATTTTGTGTAAACTAATTTGTCATGACCTCGGTCAAGTACTTATCTGTCTGAGACAGATGAACAACTATTTGTTCAAGTTTTTTCTCATTTTGAAGCTTATGATACACAGTTTTCATATTAAATAATGAAACGTGGTCACTTTTATGTGGTCATCTTGATACAACATGGGTACAGAAAATATAAATATTTCAAGATCAAACCAGCATTTCTGTATTTTAAAACACCACAGAGAGCTCTTCCTCTGCCCATGCGAAGAAAAGCATGTTTTTACATAATTAGTAACGGGATTTCCACTTTGCATTATGAAAAACCTCACAGATAAAAAAAAAATGGTGAAAACTGGCATAGCGCTATTAATCTCAGAACAATGGCTAAACACACTTACATTTCTCTCTCTTATCTGTAATAGTATGGGGAATGTGAGAGTGTGAATGTGCTCATCAGATAAGTAGATATCTTTTTTTTTTTTAAACGGATAATGGAAACTGTGCAGTTTTGGAGTCTGATAAGACATATTATAGACGGACATGTATAATATGCTGCAAAAATGGAAAATTCATATTTGAAGATTCTTGTCTCAAAGACCATGTCAGCAACTGGAGGTCAAAACTGTGCCCCCTGGAGGTTAAACTAATAATATTACACAGTGAATCATATAGGATCCTATTTACACCTGTTTTTTTTTAATTGATCTCTTTTGTCCACTTTCCAGCCACTTCTGTATTGATTTCTTCGAGGGGAGTGTCTATGGGCGGGTAAATGTATGGGCATTTTCAGATCTTTCGATTTAATGGATGAAATAAGCTCATGCAATTTACATATGAACGTGACCGGAGATGACAGAAACATTTCCAAAATTTTTATTCCTTCTGGCTTGCGTGCTTCCCATAATGTTTACGCATTAGGTCAGTAGGCGAAGAATAGGTGTTTTATTTTTTTGGTGGTTGTTCAAACACATTCGAGCACATGAATGTGTTTGAACAATCCAGTCTAAGCAATCCAGTCAAATGTGTTTTCGACTACCTCTGGAAGTGTCCAAAAAAAAGCTCAAAACGTTTTAGACCCCGTTTACACCTGTATTTAGCGTCGTCCACTTGTGATCTGATCGAACTAAACGCATCTTAATCCTAGGTGTAAACCAAGTCTAGTTTACCTGGCCAGTGTTTGATTTGATTTATGCTTGGGTTAGTCTAGTGACACTCACACAGAGAACAAAATACCTTTAGACAGTGCAACTAAGTGGTGAGAGCAAGTAAAATATTACACAGAGCAGTGCAAATGAGGTTTAAGGCAGCACATTTCCCTAAAGTTCACTTCCTGTGTTTGTTTTGAGGGTTTAATCACTTGTCCGGCATCCCGTTGAGCTTGCATATAATTTAAACATAGGCTGCGTGTTTAGATCACAAAACCATGGCAACAGCTGCCGAATTTAAACAGGCACACTTTCTACTCACACCTTCAAAGGCCTCCTCCGTCAAGGGAGAGTTTTTAAAAGATGTACTTTTACTAAGTGGGTCAGAAGAATTCTGCCCCAAAGGCCATGGTGAGACATTTGCTTATACAGGTAACACAAACAGATGCCACTGCACCAAAACCAGCTGAGCAGACGCTCTATGTGTTGTTTTGCCATTGAAGAACACAGTTTAGCACATTCATTCATAATGCAATATTAAGCAAAGCAAAGACAAGAAAAGTCAAAGAGAAAAACAGGATAAAGTGTGCTAAGAACAAGAGATAATTACTTCCAAAACAGCAGCAAAACTACAGATGTGTCCTACTTAAAAACAGAAAGGAGCATGCTTAAGCATGAAGTGGGCCTGGAGGGAGGCACAGAGTTGTAGATAATTGTCAACCACATGCAATATGGGTCGTGGATTGCAGTTTTGTATTGTGTTTTTGATCAAAACATGTTTTCTACTTTTTCCACAGATGGAGGATTGAACTTTTAGATCAACAGCAGTTGTGTGGGAGTGGTAGCGCAGTGGTATACCAAAATTTTGGAAAATGGTGGACGCATGCTTTTAGGACAAGATTCTAGGTTTCTAGCTGGTCAAAGTTGGTTTAGATGGTTGACCAGCTAAACTATCAGCTTGTGGGGTCCAGGCTAAAGTAGTAGACCTTTGCAGGGTCAACGGTACTGCTTGAGAAACCCAGTCATCCTAGCTTAAGTTGGTCAAGCTGTTTTATGTATAGTAAAAGGTAGCTGGTTTGTTGAAAAGCAATCTAAGGGTCCTTCTGGAAAAGCCAGGTCAGACCAGCTTAAGTGTCAGCTAGTTTATTGTTCGTTCATTTTGGTTGGGAATAATTGCTTGTCCAGGATGGTCAGTCAACTAGCGGAGGTATATTACTAGACCTAGTCCTGCTGGAAATCCCACTCATACTAGCTTAAGGTGGTCAAGCTGTTTTATGGAACATTGTAGCTGGCTTGTTGGTGATTGAAAATCTCTTACCACCTTGACCAAGATAGTCTACCAACTGGGTGAGGTACTACACCATCTTGGTCAAGGTCAGAAGTCCTTCTGGAAAAGTCAGATCAGACCAGCTTAAGGTGGAAGACCGTTTTTTGCTGGTCCATGGTGGTTGAGATGCTCATAATTGCTTCCAATTGCTACCAACTGGATGCTCAAGGGGCCTATTGAAAAAAACCTGGTCACACCAGCTTAAGGTGTTCAGGATTCTTTATACACTCTGATGGCTCGTTTGTTTTGGTCCACAGTGGTGGAGAAGCTCTTGTTGACTTGACTAGAATGGACTACCAACCTTTTGTAGTCTATTTTGGTCGAGGGTTCGGGTGGAAGAACCAGGACACCAGTTTAAGGTGTTCAAGCTGTTTTATGGAATATAATAGCTTGTTTGTTGGTGGTCAAGAATCTTAAAATGGACTAAGATCGTCTACCAATGCAACCAGGTCCCTACCAGCTCGAAGTCCAGCTGATCAACTACCTAAACCACCATTGATGGGCTAGAAACCAAATGCAATGTTCCAAAAACCTTCTACAGGATTACGGTTTTAGCTAGAATTTCCAATAGGGTTAAGTTACCTGTGAAAAGTTAAGAACATTTTGGGATACCACACTTGGTCCATTTCTCCTGACAAACTCTATGTATAGCATCAGTGGCTCTTCTGCTGTGGCAAAGAACTATAACCAGCGCAAAAATTGATAAAATGTAGACATGCAGAGATAAAATCAACACCAACGTGGCATCTCTTAGTGAGAGGTCTTCCTCAGTCTGTATGGAAATAGCTAATGGGCTGGTGAGAGGACAAATATAGCCATCTGCTCAAAAATCTGCCCAGTAAGAGCAAATGCATCATTCTTTTTTTTCTTCGATATGGTGCTTTTGTCCTCCCACATTTTCCCTCGTTAGAGGCCCAGAGTGCAGTGTCACATTTGTCTGACAGACAGAAACATGTTGCACTTTACGGGTACATCACTCTATAAAAAGTGGCCTCTAGGGAAGGAAGCAGCAGCAGCAGATTGGCTGGCTTTATGTCTGCTTGCTTAGATGTTTTATGGCCTGCCTTTGAATGCAAGTACAAATTAAATAAATAGTTTGAATCCTTCCTGTAAAATCAGATAAAGATGACTGAATATGATTAAAGCAAACAAACACGGGGGAATTTACTGAGAACGGATGGCCCCTGCTGATAATGCTGTTGATTTGCACACACGGATCGCGTTTTTTGCACCTTATTCACTAAAGGAATCATGCAAATCAGGTAGAAATGCAACACACCCTCAAAATCAGTGCTCAACGCAAATTTTTACACAGTTGTTTAAGTAATGCAGTCTTTCTAAAACATTGCCAGCAGCAAAAACAGTAATTTCATATTTGATAATCTTAATTTAACAAATATGGAAAAGACCGTAAATAACACAGAATTGAAAAGGAAACATTACCACAAGAATACAATGAGATGCTCTTGGGGGTGAACTCACCTCCAGTTCTGGATCCAAAAACCTCTCCAAAAGTGGATGCCGGTGGTATTTCATGTGGGAAGTAGCCCTCTATAATTCACTGCAAACCTCTTCAGATTTGGGCCAATCAATTCCTGAATTCCCATATTATATAACAACGTATACTTATTAAAGCAAATATCATTCACTCGAAACACTTTGTAAGGTGCTGAAAAATGTACCATTGCTGAGTGAAATTCATTTATCTTGAGTGTAATTTCAGTCACATATTCACAGTGCATTTAAAAAAATAAAATCAACACTTGCCAAGAACGCAAGCGTTGGGCTCATTTGGCGTCAGCTGGCCATTGATAAATCCTTTCAATAATGAAGTGTGTCCACAGCTCCATGCAGCTTTAAAATCAGTGACATTAGCTGCTATACAGCAGAGTTATATCACAGGATAGAACCTATAGAGGACATTAAAGCAAAGGCAGATGTTTGATGAATAATGTACTATACATCATAATGCATTCAACTTCACAGGGGTCTTATGCTAATGACATCATTAAATCCAATTAAAAGCCCATTTAGAATTGCTCCATTATTAACACGAACGCACTGCAGCGGATACTTGAATTTAGGGCATAAACTCAAGCATCACACACAAATGATGTACACATGCCTATTCCAAATAATCTCACTTAGACTATTATCGCAGCAGTTGACGTAGGTATCAAATGTGTATTAAAGTGACAACTAATGTAATGGATTCAAAAATAAAAATCTATCTGACGGTCCTCTCAGGCCTTGTTCAGAGCCAATGGACTTGAAAAAGAGAAGTGAAAAGGAAAGCTTGAATTTGTCCCTGTCAGTCACATTTCATCAAGTCTCATTTACTAAGCAGAGTTTGTGGCAGAGCGGATGTGGCCAGCACTCCCCCCAGCTGAGGCTGAGACCCCTGAGCCGGGACGGGATGGGTTTGGGGGAGTGGCACTGGCAACATGACTCCAGCTCTCTCTTTCTCAATCTTTTCCTCTTTTTCCATCAGCTCTTGTTTTTCAATTTTGCCTAGAAGCAATTGAACGCTCTTGTAAAAAACAACACGGGGGTCAACTTCGGGGAGGGCGGGACAGTCACAGCGTGCACGGAGCTCCAGAGCCTATAACAACACAGAGAATGACACAGATTAATACAGATGGATTTGAGCTTTGACCTACAACACCTACCATCTCCTCATCTCCACCCAGGGAACGGGACGGACGGACAGTGTAGTGATAAGACATATGGATGGATGGGAAAGAGTTTTAAACAAATCTCGATGGATGGATGGATGGATATTAAATCTAGATGGATTGATTGGAAAAGTTATTTAAAAAAATAGATAGATGGATGGATTGAAATAGTGACATCAAATTTGGATTGGAATAGTTATTCGAAGAAATGGATTGATGGAATGATGGAAATAGTGATATAAAATCCGGATGGATGGTTTGAAGTAGTTATTGGATGGATGGATGAACATTGACAAGGATCTCCTACATTAAAGACATCCACATGCGTTTACAAAGACTGATTTGTTTTCTGTCTGGTGACCCCTGAACTATAACCTTTGACCTCTATTAGGGGTGATGAAGAAACAACCCTCATAACACTAGATCAATAATGCCTCTTGAAACATAAACAACCAGCACCAGCACAAAGGACACTTAACGTAAAGAATTTTCTAGTTAAATTATTATTCAATTTCCGAACCATCTGCCCAAGGGAGAACATATCAAACTGAGCTGCTAAATACACACTCAATCCAGGAAGACAGGCAGTTTTAAGCAACACTGCAATGTTTGAGAACCAGGCCATTAGGGAAACTACAAAACAAATGACACTCGATGAAAGAGTGGCTGGAATAAAGCTTGAAAACAATTACCCAAGAGGGACACATCAGTAGCATACTTGCGACCAAAGTGACACAGAACACTTTAAGTTTTAAAAAGCAGATGCATTCTTTAAAAGTAACAAGTACAGACTATTTTACAGAATAAAACAAAGAAGAAAAAGATTTCTGTTAATGTACATCTAGTTTACTTGGTGCTAAGTCACTAAACCGTTTTCAGAATGTTTTCAGAAATTATTATTATTTTTTTTTTTTTTTTGTTGTTCGTAAAGGAATTTAAGCAGGTCTTGTCCACAGCAATATACACGTCAACCTGCCTATGGAAATCTGAACTTCCTTGACAAGTCAGACAAGTTACTCTCAAACAGTCACTCTTATAAAGGTGACGTCTTCAAAATTCACTAGTAACAGGCACCAGAAGACAGACTCCGTCTCTCTCTCTCACACACACACACACACACACACACAGTAATTCTCATTAGCGAGAACACGGAGGACGACTCTCCATCGGCTCAGGTTAAAGAGGGTGAGAATAGAGAGAGATGGAGGGCGTTTTAAAATAACTTCCCGAAGGAGTAATAACTTCCACTCAACAACAGAAACACACACGCATTACAGTTGATGGACAATTAGTGTCCTGGCCATCTGTTGCTTATGTGTTTGGAGTGTGAGAGTATGCAGGCAGAACTGTTAAGAGTTCAAGCTCAAGGTCAAGTAAGGCCCCTGCATGCCACTAAAATTCACACATTGACACGCAACCTTCTGCCGCAGCTGGTGTGTGACGGGGAGAGAGCATGCTCCTGTAGATGACTGTCCATGCTGTTCTACAGTATACAGTTTAGTCGATGAACAGTATGTTAACCTGAGCTCTTTGTTTAAAGCAAGTGGTTAAGGGTTGGCTTCATCCATTTTGCCCCTGCTGGTGGATGCTGTAACTACGCCATCTGCCTTTCTCGTCGGCCGTAGCTGTGAATTGTGAGGGGATGTTTTTGCAAGCAACATATTGCAAATTGCAAAAATTTCATCCTTTTATAGTAGGTGTCTCAGTGCCAGATTTTTTGATTTTTTTTTTTAAGACTCTTAAAAGTGTGAAAGTGATTTATAATTTTCCATCTGCTGCCTAACATCAGATACTACACACTACACGTATCCGCTACAGAACAGAGGAACATACATACACATAATCCACAAAAATATTTTTAAGACCAATTGATATCACACAGGTTACTTTTTAAAAATGATGTAGATAATTAATATGCATTTGTAATTGTAATTTGTAGGGCTGGGTAAAAAAAATATATTGATTGCTCGATTTTAATTGATTCTAATTGTTACGAACCGATATCGATTCTTAAATCCCCCCTGAATTCAAAATGTAAATTTTTAATTTTTTAGTATGAATATGTTAGCCTTAAGGTTATGAATAAGCTGGTGTGTTCCAACACAATGACAAAATTCTCATTTAGGAGATATAAGCTTTCAAAACTTACAGTCCCTCACTTCCGCTATAATGGATCACAGATCACCGCGGACTTCAGCTTCTCATCACATCTTCTGATTTAGCGTACTTGTTTATTTACTCATTTATTTATTAATTTTCTTGATTTTATCAAGGGGAATGACATGTGCAAAATCTAAATCTCTGTCCATCATTTTGTGAGCAATTGATGATAAAGGAAATTTTCACACAATATTGGAAATATTTACATTTTAAACCATGAAGGCGAGCCAGTGGATATCACACAAGCAATGTGCAAACTTTTATAAATATTTCAAAAAACGAATTGGAGTAGAAATAATTATGTATTTGTAAAGCTACTAGTATAACAACTTTATTATTATAAAAACTTCCTTGAGTGTACTTTCAGTGTTTGTATACAAGTCAGTTAATTTTGACCATGTTTACAACATTAGTTGAGAGATTTTTTCCCCAGATAAAATTTGCCACATAGCTAAGTAACTGTACCTGATATATATCCAAAATAATCGATACATCTATATATTAAATATCGAATCAAAATCGAATCGCAAGCTTGTGAATCGAAATCGAATCGAATCATGAAATGTGTCTCAATATCCACCCTAATAATTTGTAAATCCGATTTGTAATTGTTGATTTATTTCTGCTTTTCGATACAAAAAAAAAACTAAATGATCATTATACTACAACCAAAAAAAAAAAAATTTACAAATATATATATATATTATATATATATATATATATATCAGGGCTGGGTATTGACACAAATTTCAAAATTCGATTCAATTTCGATTCACAAGCTTGCAATTCGATTCGATTCTGATTCCGATTTTGGATATCAGGTAGAATACATGGCAAATTTTCTCAAGGAAAACAAATCTCTTAACTAATGCTGTAAACTATGGGAGTCAGTTGTAGCCTACTAGGCCTCATTAGCCTACTATAATATTGAAGGTAAAAATTAACTGATTTGTAGCTATACAAACACTCAAATTACACTTATTTATTTTTGTAATAATACAGTTATATGAAATATAAACATTTAAATGGTGGCTGTCATAAAAACTTGCCAGATTTATTCAAACATGCATTAAATATCGAAGAACATTAAAAATTATAATGAATATGTAATATGGTGCATATATTTAGCAAAATGCTCCTCTTTAGAGTTAATTTTTCTAGCTGACTAACGAGTTTATGGTCACATATGGTTTTGCTGAGGTAAATGTGACGTTACATGACATTGTTTACAAGTTGTTTTACTGACGTCTTTCCACGGTTGAAACACTGATTGAGCGATTCCATGTGACATGATACGGATTTCGATAAGTTGTACTCTATCTTTTAACACACTTTCAGATGCTCATTCATGTTTATTTCGCGCTGTAACTGGCATTATTAAGGCAGAAGAGGAGATCATGTGCGCTCCTGCTTCTCTTGAGCTGAGCCAGAGCGATCTCACGCCACAGCGCCAAAACGGTATTTATGTTTTTGAATTTCGTAAGAAAATGGACGTAATTTGAAATTTGAGACTTTATTTAGTATCAATAGTAACAAAGCACAAAGATTATTGCGATTTATTGGATGGGATGCGCGCTACAATGTTCCATTCATTCATCAAATGAAAACAGGATGACTAATCGATTCTTGAGTTTTAAGAATCGATATCGGTTCGTAAAAATGAGAATCCATTAATATCAAGAAATCGATATTTTTTACCCAGCCCTAATATATATATATATATATATATATATATATATATATATATATATATATATATATATCTTCTCCTCCTGAGTTAGCTGCTGCAGCGCTAGTACTAAGGGGCACTGACACAAACAGATGTCAAAGCCAAAAAACACATTATGAAAAAGACACTTTAGGCAAGGGAGTGGAATTGATCATGGATTTGGACCAAGCAATCAAGCAAAAACCTCAGGCCTGCAACTGTAGCACAGCAACAAAAGCAGGATAATTTTGTGCTTTCAGGAACGAAAGAACAGACAGACAGACAGACAGACAGACAGAATAATGAATGCAACTTTAACACAGTTCCATACTTTTGCAGCGTCATGGCATGACGTGGCTTTCTAAAAACATGCCTCTCAAATTAAAATAAGTCCTATCATGAGAACTCTTGGCAGATTTTTAGCATGGTAATGGATATGACAATGTTAATGTACTTGGCCTTGGCGGAATAGATCTGCCACGCTGCTTCTGTTGATTATTGCTGTTGTTGATTATTGCTGCTGCTGAAGAGCAAGTACAGGAACTTGCTACTGCCAATACATACGCCGATGTGCTGCTGTGAGTGTGTAAGACATACTGCTGCTGCACAAATAGCGGGGATATATATATTAACCCATACTAGATCTATACAGGTGGAGCTGGGGAAGGTGGAGAGTTTTGGAGGAACTCTGAAAGTGCGCTGCAAACTGCAAGCTCATTGGCTGCAGATGCGTCATGAACCAATCAGCTTGTGTCAAGTAGTAAACGCTGTGAATATCATCAGTTTGGTTCATCAGCCTGCGCCATCTAGAGTTTCATGACAGAACTTGGCATTTAAACCTTTTTTTTTAAAGAGTGTCTCTAGACCTTGCATTTATTTTCGCTTCATTGACCTTTGTCTTGAGTTTTTAACCGCAAAAAAACTATTCTGCTAACTAAGATAGGCAGATAAGCAGCACATTCTTATTTATTATTTAAGCAGATAATGGGCTCTATGCACGGCGGTATTTCCGATGAAGGTCTAAGGATGCTGGATTACTTCCGCCGGTCGTAGAGTCCAATGCTATACCGAGAATTTATATTGGTTTTTATACTCTATTGCTACACTAAAGAAACGTTAGTCACAAAAACAGACAAAACAGACACTCCTCATTTTGTTTATGCTTCTGTGTTTATTATATTAAATAAACATAACTATATATAAAATTACATCTAAAAGTATTAAAGTTTCGTTTCAAAGACGAGAGGACAGTAAATTTTGAAGACTCTGCCATAATCCCGTTTTCCTCGGTTTTCCTCCGCTTTAAATCTCCCCAACCGGAAACACACGAGCATCCTTGCGTCAAACACGGAAGTTATGCGTGCATATAGCCCATTTACATCATACATTCAGTTAACAGCAAGCCAAAGAGGACAAGGTTTCAACAGAACTATGCAAATGCATTTTATACACTACATTATATTCTTGCTCCATCCATGCAATAAATGGACATTCTTAAATAAGCGATGTTTACAGCGAACTGCTCAGGTATTAAAATTGTAAGACCCATCTTCGGCCAAATGAGTCGGAGCTATAGAAATGTATATTCAGATTTACAAGTAAATATGAAGATATTCATTAAGATATCCCTGTAATTCGCACCTTGATAGCTTGCAAATATTTCTGCCCGTTTTGGCTCGTGTGATTATCAGCCTCTGCTTTTCCACAACAGACTGAAGTGCCTCGTGAGTGTACGACACGCTGCGCCTACTTTCAGCTTACAAAAGAAAAATACTTTAATTTTCTGATGTTATTTTTTGATTGGCTGGGGCATTCTACAGCCCTTGATCAAACCGCTCAACACACTGCACAACTGCCTCAGATTGTTTGTAATCAATGTACAAATCGCAAAAAAAAAACAGATTAACACTAAAACCTGATTGGGTTGGCAAGGCAAAGTTTTGGGGGGGCTTGTATATTCCAATGCCTAGATCCGGCCCCGGGCTGGGTGACACCTGGACCAAACACTTCCTCAATCCAGTTTTTGCATTAGGATGATTATTTGACTGCCGCCATGAATGTTGCCATTTTTTTTTACGAGAGGAAATTGCAGTTGTTCAGAATCAAGCATAAGATCTTGATGGAGTTCAATTCACGCTCCAACAAATCACTGTCATGCATTGCACTGTATATCTTGATGTACCGCATAACAGCTCGCATGAATTATTTAGCCTCAATCTCTTATGAAGGCTCTCTTCTGTGGCTGCTGGTACTGATCTAAGGATTCCACCATATGAATGTTGAGTTTCATGGATCCTCCAGGCCTTTGTGTTTGGTTTTCTCCTCCAGCAGTAGAGCATTTATTTGTTCATTTCCACAATGAACGTGGTCTAAGGCATGTGTGTAGAAGGTGGAGTTCGCTCCAGAGCAGAGGGGTCTCCAGACGTCTTGTTAGCTATGGTGGAGTCTGGATTTCAGACGTGTCTGCGAGCCCTACGGTGCGTGTTTCTGATGGGTACTCTTTAAATCAAGAGAACAGAGTACCCAGGACATATTCCAAACAGCACTCCACTTGTGCGTTAGTAGTATTGAAAACACCAGTCATATGAACGATCTTATCACATAACTAAACAATAGTCTTTCTTAGAGCTTTCCATAGCTATTTCCTTTCCATTAAAGCTCAAGATGGCTCTTTGGATCATCTCAAATCAGGATGGAGAACATGATCATCAGGTTATGCACAAATTTGAGGAGTTCATGCAGCTCAAGTGCTGAAATTGTACATAACACTTAACACAATATGTAAGATTTTTGGATTAAATTATTCAAAAAACACTAAAACAATGTTATATATTTTGTTGACTTGTTGTAAGCTTTTGGGATAATGCAAGTACACATTTAAATCCATAGAAATCAGTCATTTAACCAGTGTCATTGCGTCGTCATATTCGCGTTACCCTCGATTTCCAGTTTTACTTCCGTAGAAACCATGAAAACACCAAAGACGCTTCAATATATTATGTGTTTTATTTAGACAGGTGAGCAACTGTTTGGATACTTTTATCTACAGAAAGCGAATCATTGTTATATATAGCTCAACATTGTTAGTCTTATTGATTGAATTCTTTGTTTCCTTGATTTACCGCGAGTAACATATCATTTGGTTATTTGGTGTCCTTTTTTTGGAAAGAAACCTAAATTTACTTAGAAAAAAAGCTTGCGGAAAACACCGTTTTGTGAAAATCATCCTGAAATCTGATGGTTTACTTTTCTGGATATAGCAAAATTATGACAAAATGAATGTTATGAAGATAAACGGTGTATGCTTAATTTAACGTTAAGTGTGCTATTGATTGTAAAATTAAGCATAAAATTTTTTATCTATTCACAGCCCTATTATTATTTACATTTTCTGATCAATACACTGATAATTGATTTTTCCTTTTATGTGGTACTTTAACTGGTACTTTTAGTCCTCCACAGTCCATATGTTTGCCACTTTGTTTTAGAGAAAACTGGAAATTACGAAGAAGGACAGGGAAATGGGATTGAGAATGCAACTGGGAAATGATGCATGGGTGCCAAAGCTTAATAAGTTTGCTAGGCCATGGCTTTAACGGTTCTTTATTTTTAGATCAATTCAAATTCCACCATGAATTTAATTCTGATGTACATGTTTAGCATTTGTGTGGAAAGGTTTCACTCATATAAACCTGTATACTGATGTCTAATGATGCATGTATTTGCTTGTGTGTGCTTTACCTCAGGAACGAGGCGGTCCAACTGTCTGACACGGTTTTGGTGGGAAGGGTGTGTGGACAGCCATTCGGGGATGGTTGGTTGGCCACTCAACTGATCATAGATCTCCATCTGCTGCCAAAACACTGTGGCCGCCCTCACATCAGCACACGCCTGTCAGAAACGCACACAAATCTCAAATACACATAAAGAGATGCTTTTCTGGCATGTTAAAGCCCTGCCATCGTCAAAGGAAGCAAACAGGGAGATGACACGCACATGACCCGACGGGGCGCTCGGAGCTCTGGGCAACGTCATTAGCTGGAGCTAAAGCCGAGAGCAGGCTGGCTCACGGACAGCATGAATCATGACAGGGTCGAGCTAGCCATACAACGTGCCTGTGTCCTCCACCGAGCCGGCTGTAGCAGGCCAGATCTGGGCCCATTTACGAGCAGCAGGCGGCCCGTTATTACTACTATAAGAGATAGAAGGGAATTGACTGTTTCTCCATAATGATGCCAAGCATGGGATCAGGAGACATGCTGACAGGAAGAGCACTACACCGTGAATCACACCATTGCCACATGCAGTGAAACGCTTCCATGAAGCAGTTTGTAAAGAAACAGTGCCACCTAGAGGTCATGTAGGATACTACAGCTATAAACGACTGATATACAGTAGGTTCCCCTGAATTGTGTCTCAGGGTTTTAATTGATCCAGTTTTCTAGTCATCATACGTTAACAGTTATACAGCTTTTATTCAGAGTGGCGTAGAGTTGAAGTGTTTAATTCCTAAGAATGACTTCAAAAGTTACTTTATTTGCAATTTAAGTCAAGCATGTAATACTGTATAAGGCCCTGTTTACATCTGGTATTAAGATGCGTTTTTGCAATTTACATATGAACGCGCCCGGAGACGATGGAAAAACGTACAGAAAGCAGCAGCTTTCGTTTCTGCTCTGACAGACGCAAGACCAAGGGTTAGAAATCAGGAATGGTGAGAGAACATTGTGCTTGGTACAGTACGTTATTTGACTTCAAACCAAACTTAGGTCCTCAGCCGACAAAGTTTAAATCCTGTCTGGGTAGCGCGCTCCCCATAATGTTTACGCATTAGGTCAGGTGGTCTTTTGTGGCCGTTCGAATACATTCGAGCACATGAAAGCTACACAACAAAAGCAATCTGGTCAAATGTGTAATCCTGTGCTTTCCAGTCTGTGACAGTTGAGCTAGAAAAATAAAGATAAATAAAGGATAAAGAAAAAAACATGTATAACAAAGAATCTTACAGATCAGTTATCACATTAATATTTTTTACATTTGTCAGGCGCCAATGCGGCTTAGGCCTGTTTCACACCACACACACAACAGTTTTTGAATGAATCAGATTTAACTGCAACAAACATAATCACCATGCAATCAAATTTATGAGGGGAGGAAAATCTTTTCTTTTTTTTATGCTTTAAATGCCAGTTAATTTACATGCTCTACATTAAACTAAACCTAATGCCAAAGCATAGATATAACAGTGTGGTTATTGTTAACTAAAACAAACTATTAAAAATAGTTTTCAGAAATTGAATTAGAGCTAAAATAAAATAAACTATATTAGATGGAAAACCTAAACTTAATTAATGAATACGTTTAATTTAAAGTACTGAAGTTACTAAAACTGAAATAAAAATTCAAGCTATATAGAAAACAAAAACTAAACACATTTAAATTAATTAAAAATTGAAAAAGCTAATTCAAAATATTTATAAATACTATAACGTATATAAAGATGACTAAAACAACACTGAGCTATAAACTGCATGAATCATCTTGATTTAATGAACAGAAAGTGTTGTCTGTGTCAATTCGTGGAATTTTGCCTAAGCCTGACAGACAGTTTTTTTTTTTCAAACAAATTCAGTTACAAGGTGCAAAAATAGGCTTAACACCGAAAGTCTACTTGCAGCTGCACTTCTGCTACACAGCACTGCGCTGCTTATGCACGCACTGTACAATCTGAAACCTGAATAAACACATAAGCTGCTTACACTGTGAAACAGAACTTATAGTGCATTTTAGGTAGACATTTGATCAGTATGCGTTCCCTTGGAATTGAACCAAAAGCTTGGTGTTGCTACAAGAAGACTGTACAGAATCTGATCATATCTGCATTACCTTGGCAGCCAGCTGTAGGCCAACCTGGTCCGCCTCTGCCTCCAGCTTACGACTGAAGGGCCGGTCAAATAAGAACTACAACACAGACAAGAGGGAATGAGAGAGAATATGCAGTTAAATGAGCTATTCTAACAGCGCACACATGAGTTATATTGGGTAAACAGAGGAAGATGGACAGAATAAAGTGAACCATATTTGGAGAACAAAATGACTAGGAGATAAAAAAAGACCACCCATTAAAATGTAATTTATTTTAAATATAATAGGCAAAGAAGATGAAAAACAAGGAAAGAATGGGATGAAAATTCTCACATAAAAAGAGGAGTAGGAGAGTACATGGTATCTTAGAAGAAAAACACCATAAAAAAACCTGAAGTACAATTAAATTGAAAGCGGGCCTTTGTTTTATGCCGCAAAGTGATTCAGAAAATGCTAATTCAATATCCATTTAGAAGACAAATAAATGTAGCTGAATTTAAACTAACCTTAAATTGAAGTCCTTAGAAACCCAAATAAGATCTCCTCTGAGATATTGTTATTGTTTTATAATGGTGGTGAGAGAGTACTTGAGAAGGTTACTTTGAGCTCGAGTGGAGGAGTATAATTCTTGTTTAAAGGGTCTTTTAGGGATTTTAGAATCAATATTTAAGGAGTGTTTGCATCGTTAATGGACAAACCCAAAGTAAACAGAGTCCCATCGATGTCTTAAAGGGATAGTTCACGGATAGTTCACCCTAAAATGAAAATTCATCATTTACTCAACCAATTTCTTTCGTCTGTTGAACACAAAAGAAGATATTTTGAAGAATGTCCTTAACCAAACAGTTGTGGGGCACCACAACTGTTTTTTATTCCTACTTTTTTTATTCCTACTATGGAAGTCAATGGGGACCAAAAACGGTTCAGTTACCCATATTCTTCAAAATATCTTCTTTTGTGTTCAACAGAGGGGAATTTATTTTTATTTTTTCAATCAGACTGGCAAAATGAAGTGTTTTGATTAGCTGTGAACATCTCTGGTTCAAGACCAGCTTAACTTCAGTGAAAACATGTGGAATGAAGGCAGATAAGGAATCGATTGAAAAAGGGTAAAACAGAGATCACAAGGTCACCTGCACTAGTTTGCCCTGAATCCACTGGCCCAGCAGAGCTAAACTGTCCCGGGGACATATGGCCCAGATCGCCGTTAGCAGGACGACAGACAGCAGGTCCACCACGTGAGACAAACTGGCCTGCTCTGCCTGAGAAAGAGAAAGAAATTCATTACAGGCTTTTCTGTCTTTGTTGATTTCGTCGTTTATCTGCTATGCTAATTTGTTTGTATTTTGGTGTTAAGAACCATTTTTACTCTTGCTTAGCAGCCCATTCTCTGACAGCATGCCCAATTAGGAACAATGTAGAAAAACAAAGAAAAAGAAACAAGCAATTTAACGACGAGAGACATAATAAATCACACTGAATTGTAATTACAATACCCATTCTACTGAAATAAGGGCAACAGATATGGCAAAACATGTCTAAAAGTGGCCAGGTACATGCTGCAAAGCAGATTTGTTATGTAATTATGTCATCTGCACGCCGTGCACGGGCATAAAGTCGTATACCTTTTTAACATAGTAATATAGCTTCCTTGCATGAAAATGTATGGTTTTCACTTTCTTCACCCTTAAACCCATATGTGTGTGTTTTTTCCCCATTATTATTCTTTTAAAGGGGGGGGGGGGGGTGAAATGCTATTTCATGCATAGTGAGTTTTTTACACTGTTAAAGAGTTGGATTCCCATGCTAAACATGGACAAAGTTTCAAAAATTAAGTTGTACGTTTGATTGAGTATTTCTGTTCTCAAAATACTCCTTCCTGGTTGTCACAAGTTTCGGAAAGTTTTTTTCGAGTATGGGCGCGTATGACGTCAGATGCGCCGGAATTTCCTTATACGGTCCTAAGGGCACTTCTCTCTGAAGGGCGCGCGGGCAGCTGTAGAGCGATAGCCGTAAACTATGCCTATCAAAGCGCTGTGCATCGGCTGCGCTCAATATGTCACCAAAGAAGTGTGTTTTCGGTTGCCAAGGCAAGACAACACTGCACAGATTCCCAAAGAATCAAGCGTTAAGGGACCAGTGGATGGAGTTTGTTTTTCCAGAACATCAACACAGTTGTGCAAGTGTTCTTGTTTGTTCCATGCATTTCGAGGATGATTTTTTATAAAGGCCCAGTTCGAAGCCGGATTTGCTAATCGTTTAGTTCTCAAGGATGGAGCAGAACACTAAAGGTTAACGGTCTTGCATTGGAACCGCAGGCGGTGAGTAGAACTGCTTCAAATATCTGTGTGTCTATCGGCGTGTAACTTAAGCACAGCAAGTAGGCTAAACAACATGATCACGAATAGTTAATGTATCTATGGAGCATGCGATGTATGTTGTGTGTTTGTTTAAATACATGTGTTTAGGTGGCTACTGTAGGTGTCTGTTTGTTTATTGTAAAACCAAATCATGTCTTCATAAACCACGAGTAGAGACCACACACAAATGTTCTAAAACTTCGCACGCTCGTGATTATTTAGCTCCGCCCACATGGCACGCCTCGACCCGCTCGGCTTTTTCCGGAAAGACTCGGTACAGCCTATCTTTCTTTTATAAATATAATAAAACTAAAGACTTTTTGGAGATATGATGGATGCAATATTACTCTATAGGTACTCAAGATTGACATGAGATTGACTGAAATGTCAATGTGTTTCACCCCCCCTTTAAACATAACAGGTTTATTTTTATTAAATGTTTATGCTGCTCTTTTAGATAAAAATTTTAATGACTATGACACTTAAATCTCGGTTTGGTCCTCACAAATATGAGATATTTTTTAATTTTTTACAACTTTTTGGAGCCACTTTACTGTCACTGTTAGCCATCTACTTCTATGAGGAAAATAGCAGCTTGGACATTTTGCTAAACATCTTTTGTGTTCCCCATACACAACCATTAATAAGTTTGCAGTCAGTAAGATTTTTTCAAATGTTTTTGAAAGTCTCTTATGCTCACCAAGATTGCATTTATTTAATCAAAAATACAGTAATATTCTATTGTGAAATATCATTGCAGTTTAAAGTAACTTAATTTAACTTATTTTAAAATGTAATTTTAAGACATTTTAGACAGTAAGAGTGCTTTTAATTCCATTCAGCCAGGCTTACTCTCACGTGGACGTCCCCACTGTAACATGGATCATGGACTATCTGACGGAAAGACCACAGTATGTGCGCCTACAAAACTGTAGGTCAGAACTGACAGTTAGTATTGTGGGTGTGCCACAGGGGACTGTTTTGGCACTTTTTTACACCTCTGACTTTAAGTATGATACTAGGGCATGCCATCTCCAGAAATTTTCAGACGACTCTGTGGTCATGGGATGTATAAGTGAAGGAAAGGAAGAGGAGTATAGGAGCCTGGTGGAAAGTTTTGTAAACTGGTGCAAGCAAAACAATCTCCAGCTTAACACAAACCAAACTAAGGAGATGGTGATTGATTTTAGGAGATCTAAACATGCAGTGTCTCCCATCAGAATGAATGGTGAAGAGATTCAGACTGTCACTTCTTATAAATATCTGGGAGTGCACTTGGACGACAAAGCTGACCACTAACATTGAGATGACATACAAAAAAGGACAGAGTCGTCTCTATTTCTTGAGGAGAATGAGATCTTATGGAGTTCCAGGAGAAATGCTCCGTTCCTTTTATGAGTCGGTTGTGGCGACAGTACTTTTCTATGCTGTCGTATGCTGGGGAAGTGGAATCAGGATCAGCGATGCAAACAGACTGAATAAACTGATAAAGAAAGCCAGCTCTGTGTTGGGTACTACCCTTGACCCGCTGGAGGTGGTGATGGAGAGGACAATTCTGGCTAAACTCTGTCATTTTGTGTGTAACTGCTCACCCTTTAAATGGTATCGTTGGTGCACAGGAGAATACATTTAGTAGATGTGTTTAGTTGATTCCTCCTCGGTGTAAGAAGGAGAGATATTTTAGGTATTTTATTCCTGCTGCGATTGGGCTGTACAACCACACCCTGATTTGAAGTATGTGCAGAATAGTGAGGGTATGTATATGTATATGCATTTATATGGATAGAAGTGTGCATGTGTGTATTTGCGTGCATGTATAGGTATACGGGTATATTTATTGGTATGTACGTATGCATAGGGATGTACACTCACCTAAAGGATTATTAGGAACACCTGTTCAATTTCTCATTAATGCAATTATCTAATCAACCAATCACATGGCAGTTGCTTCAATGCATTTAGGGGTGTGGTCCTGGTCAAGACAATCTCCTGAACTCCAAACTGAATGTCAGAATGGGAAAGAAAGGTGATTTAAGCAATTTTGAGCGTGGCATGGTTGTTGGTGCCAGACGGGCCGGTCTGAGTATTTCACAATCTGCTCAGTTACTGGGATTTTCACGCACAACCATTTCTAGGGTTTACAAAGAATGGTGTGAAAAGGGAAAAACATCCAGTATGCGGCAGTCCTGTGGGCGAAAATGCCTTGTTGATGCTAGAGGTCAGAGGAGAATGGGCCGACTGATTCAAGCTGATAGAAGAGCAACTTTGACTGAAATAACCACTCGTTACAACCGAGGTATGCAGCAAAGCATTTGTGAAGCCACAACACGCACAAACTTAAGGCGGACGGGCTACAACAGCAGAAGACCCCACCGGGTACCACTCATCTCCTCTACAAATATGAAAAAGAGGCTACAATTTGCAGGAGCTCCCCTGGTCTGATGAGTCTCGATTTCTGTTGAGACATTCAGATGGTAGAGAATTTGGCGTAAACAGAATGAGAACATGGATCCATCATGCCTTGTTACCACTGTGCAGGCTGGTGGTGGTGGTGTAATGGTGTGGGGGATGTTTTCTTGGCACACTTTAGGCCCCTTAGTGCCAATTGGCCATTGTTTAAATGCCACGGCCTACCTGAGCATTGAGCAATGAGTTTCCTGTACTAAACTGGCCCCCACAGTCACCAGATCTCAACCCAATAGAGCAGGGGTGGGGAACGTTGATCCTGGAGGGCCATTGTCCTGCAGAGTTTAGCTCCAACCCTAATTAAACACACCTGAAGCTAATCAAGGTCTTCAGGATTCCTAAAGTTACAGGCAGGTGAGTGTTTTTTTCAGGGTTGGAGCTAAACTCTGCAGGACAATGGCCCTCCAGGATCAACGTTCCCCACCCCTGAAATAGAGCATCCTTGGGATGTGGTGGAACAGGAGCTTCGTGCCCTGGATGTGCATCAACTGCAAGATGCTATCCTATCAATATGGGCCAACATTTCTAAAGAATGCTTTCAGCACCTTGTTGAATCAATGCCACGTAGAATTAAGGCAGTTCTGAAGGCGAAAGGGAAACACAGTATTAGTATGGTGTTCCTAATAATCCTTTAGGTGAGTGTATACGGGTCTGTATGGTGAGCGTATTTGTGTATATGTACTTACGTAGATGCATGAATGGAAGTTATTTAGTATATTTACTATTTTAATATTTCAGTCCACATTCCGTAATAACTTGTTTTAAATATCTTGATTGTTTTTGCTTGGACTAGGGGTTGAGTGGCATTGTTTGGTACAATATGTAATGTGAGAGTATTGAGGGTGTATGTGGGAATTGGAGGTGTTTTTGAATTTGTTATGTTAAGTAGGTCGTTGTATGGTATTTTGTAATTGATGGATACTCAGATTATTGAGATTGATTGATTGATTTTTTTGTCTATTTCTGTTATGCATGTTGTCCTGCTGTAACACCTTAATTTCCCCTTGGGGATTAATAAAGGAAGTCTAAGTACAATTCATTTCAGCATCATTACTCCAGTCTTCAGTGTCACATGATCCTTAAAAAATCATTCTAATATGATGATTTGCTGCTCAAGAAATATTTCTAATCATGTTGAAAATGGTTGTGCTGCTTTTTTTGTGGAAACAGTGATACAATTTAAGTATCCTTTGCTGACCAGAAAGAATATGAAAGAAAGCATGTGCATCAATTATACTGAGATTGTTTGTCCACTCAACTGTAGCTACGATCCCAGAATAAAATAATAATCGTTGATTACAGTGTGTATGCAGGTTTGTAGTATCTGCAACAAGTCAGAAGGAGTCTCATAAGAGTGTCAGCTTGTTGCTGATTTAAAATAACTAAGGAGACACTTGAGTCTAATAAAGTGAGCTTGACTTTAAAGGGAATGTTCAGTGTCACAGAAAAATGTGCTGAATCAATTTAGTTTTTCTCAGCCATACCATGTTAGCCCTCATAGGAGTGCTAAGCTCCTTCACTTTAACCAGACCCATAAGCATGCAGTGATGCAACAGCTCTGAAACTAAAACATCTCTTTAAACCGAACCCTTAACAGTGCTTAGTGCCTCTGAGACAGGACGCCTACTTCTCTTCATTTAAACCAAGTGAAGAGATGAAAGTCAAACATGACGCACGCAAAAGAGAGATAAAGCAAGCACTTGAATCTAATGAAGGGTGTTTTACTTCCAGAAAAAAGCTGAGAGACACAGCAAAGGAAGTACAAATTTAGTTTGATCCAAACTATAAAGGCCAGAGGCAGTCCGAGACCATGTAATACTCACATACATTTAAATTGAAATCGAAATGACCCTAAGAGAGAGATTACTTACAGATATTAATATTACACTCTTGGTTAGTTTAAGCATAATTAATTACTGAATTCAAATGGTTTCTGATAAAATGACAAAAAATAAATAAATCCAGTCGGGTGTTTGTGTGCAGGGGTCTGACAGTGTGGCCGGGACTTACTGCATGACCAATCAGAGCGTGAGCCATCTCATGTCCCAGTATAAAGACCAGCTGATGAATGTCTGCTACAGCCTGCAGCATTCCCGTGAAGACGAAGATCTCTCCATTCTGAAACACATGCACACACACAATCATTCCAGCTGTGAAATCAGAGTAATTTTCACCTCTAGTAATCAGTCTCAAGATTTCCTTTAATCATGTATAGTGAATTAAAAGGTTAGTTCACCCACAAATGAAAATTATATCATTAATTACTTCCCTCATGTCGTTCCAAACCCGTAAGACTTTCATTCATCTTTGGAACACAAATTAAGATATTTTTGATTAAATCTGAGAGCCCTCTATAGACAGCTACGCAAGGACCACTTCGATGCTTCTAAAAGTTCATAAAGAGTTCGTAAAACTAATCTATTTGAAATGAGCGGTTTAGTCCAAATTTTCTGAAGAGACTCATTGGTTCTTGCAGAAGCTCAAACGTGATGCGTAACACAAGAATGAACCTCATTGCTTCTTGCTGAAGCTCAAACGTGCGGCGTAACACGAGAATGAAACTCATTGATTTTTGCTGAAGCTCAAACGTGCTGCGTAACGAGAATGAACCTCATTGGTTCTTGCTGAAGCTCAAACGTGCTGTGTAACACAAGAATGAACCTCATTGGTTCTTGCTGAAGCTCAAACGTACCGCATAACACGAGAATGAACCTCATTGGCTCTTGCAGAAGCTCAAACGTGCTGCGTAACAAGAATGAACCTCATTGGTTCTTGCAGAAGCTCAAATGTGCTGCGTAACAAGAATGAACCTCATTGGTTCTTGCTGAAGCTCAAACGTGCTGCGTAACATGAGAATGAACCTCATTGGTTCTTGCAGAAGCTCGAACGTGCTGCGTAACAAGAATGAAGCTCATTGGTTCTTGCAGAAGCTCAAATGTGCTGCGTAACACGAGAATGAACCTCATTGGTTCTTGCAGAAGCTCAAATGTGCTGCGTAACACGAGAATGAAGCTCATTGGTTCTTGCTGAAGCTCAAACGTGCTGCGTAACGAGAATGAACCTCATTGGTTCTTGCTGAAGCTCAAACGTGCTGCGTAACAAGAATGAAGCTCATTGGTTCTTGCAGAAGCTCAAATGTGCTGCGTAACACGAGAATGAACCTCATTGGTTCTTGCAGAAGCTCAAATGTGCTGCGTAACACAAGAATGAAGCTCATTGGTTCTTGCTGAAGCTCAAACGTGCTGCGTAACGAGAATGAACCTCATTGGTTCTTGCAGAAGCTCAAACGTGCTGCGTAACAAGAATGAACCTCATTGGTTCTTGCTGAAGCTCAAACGTGCTGCGTAACAAGAATGAAGCTCATTGGTTCTTGCAGAAGCTCAAATGTGCTGCGTAACACGAGAATGAACCTCATTGGTTCTTGCAGAAGCTCAAATGTGCTGCGTAACACGAGAATGAAGCTCATTGGTTCTTGCTGAAGCTCAAACGTGCTGCGTAACGAGAATGAACCTCATTGGTTCTTGCAGAAGCTCAAACGTGCTGCGTAACAAGAATGAACCTCATTGGTTCTTGCTGAAGCTCAAACGTGCTGCGTAACACGAGAATGAACCTCATTGGTTCTTGCTGAAGCTCAAACGTGCTGCGTAACAAGAATGAAGCTCATTGGTTCTTGCAGAAGCTCAAATGTGCTGCGTAACACGAGAATGAACCTCATTGGTTCTTGCTGAAGCTCAAATGTGCTGCGTAACACGAGAATGAACCTCATTGGTTCTTGCTGAAGCTCAAACGTGCTGCGTAACAAGAATGAACCTCATTGGTTCTTGCTGAAGCTCAAACGTGCTGTGTAACACAAGAATGAACCTCATTGGTTCTTGCAGAAGCTCAAACGTGCTGCGTAACAAGAATTAACCTCATTGGTTCTTGCTGAAGCTCAAACGTGCTGCGTAACACGACAATGAACCTCATTGGTTCTTGCTGAAGCTCAAACGTGCTGTGTAACACAAGAATGAACCTCATTGGTTCTTGCAGAAGCTCAAACGTGCTGCGTAACACGACAATGAACCTCATTGGTTCTTGCTGAAGCTCAAACGTGCTGCGTAACAAGAATTAACATCATTGGTTCTTGCTGAAGCTCAAACGTGCTGCGTAACACGACAATGAACCTCATTGGTTCTTGCTGAAGCTCAAACGTGCTGCGTAACGAGAATGAACCTCATTGGTTCTTGCTGAAGCTCAAACGTGCTGCGTAACACGACAATGAACCTCATTGGTTCTTGCTGAAGCTCAAACGTGCTGCGTAACAAGAATTAACCTCATTGGTTCTTGCTGAAGCTCAAACGTGCTGCGTAACACGACAATGAACCTCATTGGTTCTTGCTGAAGCTCAAACGTGCTGCGTAACGAGAATGAACCTCATTGGTTCTTGCTGAAGCTCAAACGTGCTGCGTAACACAAGAATGAACCTCATTGGTTCGTGCTGCATAACAAGAATGAACCTCATTGGTTCTTGCTGAAGCTCAAACGTGCTGCGTAACACAAGAATGAACCACATTGGTTCGTGCTGCGTAACAAGAATGAACCTCATTGGTTCTTGCTGAAGCTCAAACGTGCTGCGTAACACGAGAATGAACCTCATTGGTTCTTGCTGAAGCTCAAACGTGCGGCGTAACACAAGAATGAACCTCATTGGTTCGTGCTGCGTAACAAGAATGAACCTCATTGGTTCTTGCTGAAGCTCAAACGTGCTGCGTAACACAAGAATGAACCTCATTGGTTCTTGCAGAAGCTCAAACGTGCTGCGTAACGAGAATGAACCTCATTGGTTCTTGCAGAAGCTCAAACGTGCTGCGTAACAAGAATGAACCTCATTGGTTCTTGCAGAAGCTCAAATGTGCTGCGTAACAAGAATGAACCTCATTGTTTCTTGCTGAAGCTCAAATGTGCTGCGTAACAAGAATGAACCTCATTGGTTCTTGCTTAAGCTCAAACGTGCGGCGTAACATGAGAATGAACCTCAATGGTTCTTGCAGAAGCTCGAACGTGCTGCGTAACACAAGAATGAACCTCATTGGTTCTTGCAGAAGCTCAAACGTGCTGCGTAAGACAAGAATGAACCTCATTGGTTCTTGCAGAAGCTCAAACGTGCTGCGTAACGAGAATGAACCTCATTGGTTCTTGCAGAAGCTCAAACGTGCTGCGTAACAAGAATGAACCTCATTGGTTCTTGCAGAAGCTCAAATGTGCTGCGTAACAAGAATGAACCTCATTGGTTCTTGCAGAAGCTCAAATGTGCTGCGTAACAAGAATGAACCTCATTGGTTCTTGCTGAAGCTCAAACGTGCGGCGTAACATGAGAATGAACCTCAATGGTTCTTGCAGAAGCTCGAACGTGCTGCGTAACAAGAATGAACCTCATTGGTTCTTGCAGAAGCTCAAATGTGCTGCGTAACACGAGAATGAACGTTTAACACGAGAATGAACCTCATGGGTTCTTGCTGAAGCTCAAACGTGCTGCGTAACGAGAACGAACCTCATTGGTTCTTGCAGAAGCTCAAACGTGCTGCGTAACGAGAATGAATCTCATTGGTTCTTGCAGAAGCTCAAACGTGCTGAGTAACACGAGAATGAACCTCATTGGTTCTTGCAGAAGCTCAAACGTGCTGTGTAACACAAGAATGAACCTCATTGGTCCTTGCAGAAACTCAAACGTGCTGCTTAACAAGAATGAGCCTCATTGGTTCTTGCAGAAGCTCAAATGTGCTGTGTAACACAAGAATGAACCTCATTAGTTCTTGCTGAAGCTCAAACGTGCTGCGTAACACGAGAATGAACCTCACTGGTTCTTGCAGAAGCTCAAACGCGCTGCGTAACGAGAATGAACCTCATTGGTTCTTGCAGAAGCTCAAACGTGCTGCGTAACACGAGAATGAACTTCAATGGTTCTTGCTGAAGCTCAAACGTGCTGCGTAACACGAGAATGAACCTCATTGGTTCTTGCTGAAGCTCAAATGTGCTGCGTAACACAAGAATGAACCTCATTGGTTCTTGCATAAGCTCAAATGTGCTGCGTAACACAAGAATGAACCTCATTGGTTCTTGCAGAAGCTCAAATGTGCTGTGTAACACAAGAATGAACCTCATTGGTTCTTGCTGAAGCTCAAACGTGCTGCGTAACAAGAATGAACCTCATTGGTTCTTGCAGAAGCTCAAACGTGCTGCGTAACAAGAATGAACCTCATTGGTTCTTGCAGAAGCTCAAATGTGCTGTGTAACAAGAATGAACCTCATTGGTTCTTGCTGAAGCTCAAACATGCTGCGTAACACGAGAATGAACCTAATTGGTTCTTTCTGAAGCTCAAACGTGCTGCAAAACGAGAATGAACCTCATTGGTTCTTGCAGAAGCTCAAACGTGCTGCGTAACACGAGAATGAACCTCATTGGTTCTTGCTGAAGCTCAAACGTGCTGCGTAACACAAGAATGAACCTCATTGGTTCTTGCAGAAGCTCAAATGTGCTGCGTAACACAAGAATGAACCTCATTGGTTTTTGCAGAAGCTCAAACGTGCTGCGTAACACGAGAATGAACCTCATTGGTTCTTGCAGAAGCTCAAATGTGCTGCGTAACACAAGAATGAACCTCATTGGTTCTTGCAGAAGCTCAAACGTGCTGCGTAACACGAGAATGAACCTCATTGGTTCTTGCTGAAGCTCAAACGTGCTGCGTAACACGAGAATGAACCTCATTGGTTCTTGCAGAAGCTCAAATGTGCTGCGTAACAAGAATGAACCTCATTGGTTCTTGCTGAAGCTCAAACGTACTGCGTAACGAGAATGAACCTCACTGGTTCTTGCAGAAGCTCAAACGTGCTGCGTAACGAGAATGAACCTCATTGGTTCTTGCAGAAGCTCAAATGTGCTGCGTAACAAGAATGAACCTCATTGGTTCTTGCAGAAGCTCAAACGTACTGCGTAACGAGAATGAACCTCATTGGTTCTTGCTGAAGCTCAAACGTGCTGCGTAACACGAGAATGAACCTCATTGGTTCTTGCAGAAGCTCAAATGTGCTGCGTAACATGAGAATGAACCTCATTGGTTCTTGCAGAAGCTCAAACGTGC